CCATCCATCCATCCATCCATCCATCCATCCATCCATCCATCCATCCATCCATCCATCCATCCATCCATCCATCCATCCATCCATCCATCCATCCATCCAAATTAGTAAGTGGCAGAGCCACTACTCTGGGCAGCAAATCAGAAATGGACCTCTGACAAGTTGTATACTGGCATGGTGGAAGCATTTAACTACAAACAAGATATGGGAATGCCAAGGAGGACAACAAATTAATATTTGTCATATTATAAATAAAAAATAAATAAATAATGTAAGGGCCAGCTGTGTTGACATTGGGCCAGCTGACATTGTGCTCTATCTAAATGCCTCTACAACAGGGATGTTAGCAGTTACTGATGTATACCTTTGTCCTAGTCTTACTTTATACCAGTATAGTGGCTGTGTCCTTGGACTGACAGGGGCTCAGATCTAGCCTAGATCAGTTCTGCCCTTGCTTCACCCTTTTCTGATCCTTTTTTTTGGGCTTTTCTACAGGCTGGTCTTAACCAGCATAACAGTTTTGTTGGCAGAGTCTTCTGCTGGCATATCTCTGAGATCAGGGCTGGTCCTGCCAGCCCAAGGACTTTTCTACCGGAATGTGGTGAGTTTTATCTGCACAAGAGTTTTTTCCCATTCCAAACCTCTTACTGCTGGCACATTTTTTAGATAGAATTTCACAGTCACACCACAATCTCCAGGTTGAATTTCTAAGCTAAAAGCTTCCAAAGTATGCCTTATTCCACAGTGAAGATTATTCAGTTGCTGATTATAGTAATACTTAGTAATATTCCATGTGCTTTCTTCAGCATTACTATAAAGCTGGAAATTAGAATTTTCAAATAAACAAAACAAAACCCACTCCAAACATAGTTATTCCATCTAGTCCCAGAGTATTACGGGTTGCTTAAAGTTACTTGTGAAACAGAAAAATGTGTATGGAAACATACACTAAACTTTTCATAGCTCAGTCCAAGGTATGTCTATCCAAAAATGAAAAACACTAGTTTACAAAACTTACTGCAAAGTTAGGAACCATAGGCTTCGAAATTAAAAAGCCACAAAACTTTATCTTGTAATAAATCTGAAATCTAAATGAAGCATCCACACCAGAATCAAAGAACATGAGAGACACTGCAGACTAAAACAATCGGAAAAATCTGCAGTAGCTGAACATACCCTAAAACAAGCTGGACATGAAATTCTATTTCAAAATACTGAAATACTGGACAACACTAGCAATCATTATGTTAGACTGCACAGGGAAGCCATTGAAATCCACAAGCACCAGCAGAACTTCAACAAAAAAGAGGAAAGTTTGAAATTCAACAAAACTTGGCTCCCAGCTCTGAAAAATACAGCGTGCAAAAGGTCAACAAACTCTTCCCAGCCACAAGGACCAGGGATCACTACACACAAAAGACCAGCTAAAGACCCCCATCAATCACAGTGACAGATAATCTCTTCTCCTTATCACAACAATACACCCATAACAAGAAACACTAATCACCCATCTCCAGAAAAGGACAAAAGCCTATCTCACAGCCATAAATACTCCACTCCCAAGCAAACTACACCAGAGCACAGAATGCTGTCCTCTGAAGATGCCGTCCACAGAGACTGGCGAAACATCAGGAAGAACAACCTTCAGAACATGGGCAAAGAGCTCAAAAAACCCACAACAACCATTAGATCCCGGCTGTGAAAGCCTTCACAAATAGAATCTGAAATAACTTTTAAAGTGCCACAACACTTTGTGTTGTTTTTACATGTTGTAGCCTCACTGAGTATCTTGCTGTGACCCTAATGAATAGTTCTATAGTTAATTATTGCTAATTAAGAACTTATTCACAGATGTAAGGTGCCAGGACTATTATTCTTAAATCCTCAACACTGCTAATTCTTTGGTGTTTGCACTAACACATTTTGCCCTTGCCATTTTGTCAATCAAATCCATTTGGATTTCTTAACTGGTTACTTTAGGCTTTACTTAATTTGAATAATAATAAATTGATAATAAATTACAGCAGTTTTAAATTCCAACCCTATAGGATAACTGTTATTAAAACAGATATCCTATGACACAATAAATGTGTCTCTGGGAACCTTACTTCCTCTGAGATACTCCTGGTCCCCTTCCCTGATTTTTCAGTTTTCTGAAAAAGAGGTTAACCTGTAACTCTAATACTTTGGCGAATTAAAGGAAAATTCTACACCAATATTCTATCCAACTGTTCACCAAGTAGTAAACCTGCTTCCAACTTCCGGTGTTTAGAGACCCAGAAAGCCACTGGTATAACACTTATTTTCAGTATGTTTTATTCTGCTAATATTTAAAACAATTTAAACACTTTAAATATATTCTGCCTTCTGCATGTAGGTTCTAGATGTTCTATGCTTACACTTTCTCATGCCCTTAAACTCTTTCAGCCTACAGTTTCTAGATATGGGTCTGGATATGGAAGAAGATAATCACTATTAAACTGCACATACAATATATACTGTTGCTGTCACTGTCTATCTCGCCACAAACACATACACACAGAAACACAGAGAAACAAATAAAATTAACTAAGAAGCTACACTTCAAGCTACATTTTCCCTACAAGGAAAAAAGAAGAGATGTTCAACTGACCTCTAGTGGGCAATATAAAAAGTGCACTTCTATAAAAATTGAGTGATATCAATGATTGGAGATACCTAGTTTGGTGTAATGGACAAAGTGTTAACACTTAGGCAAAGGATTCCAATCGCCACTTGACCATGGAAAGTCACTGAGGGTGTAGCACTGGTAAAGCCACTCCTTAAATGTCTCACATACTTTGAAAACCCCGTTAGGACCACCAAGTGTGATTTGCTGGCATACAGTATATCAACTACATCAGTGGTTGGGAACCTTTGGCCTTGAAGATGTTGTTGGATTCATGAATCTCAGCCAGTATCCCCAACCATTATGACAGGTAACGGGAGCTACAGTCTAATCACAGGTTCGTGACTCACATTACAAAGCTTGTCTTAAAGGTCCTGAAAATGAAAGCATAGTCATTTGCATTCTGCTGAGTTTGACAAATACGCTGTTTGCTTTTTCATTCAGTTACACACCCTTCCATTAACCCTGCAAGGATATATGCATAAAGCCATGGAGCACATGTCCATAGACACCACTTTCTACAACATGGGTGGTGGAAATATTTCACATAAATGGGCAGTACAAAAGAGGATTACACATTCATTTATAACATCTGTTTTAATATTAGAGGGAGTCAGGGTATTCAATTATTTTGTACTGTTGAGATAGTATAATAGCGATATCGCTCCCTTTAATGTCCACACTGGTTTATTATATCCTGTCTTCTTCTTGATCAAACAAGTGTCCAGTTTTTGAAGCAATACAAAACCCAGTCTGGTAACAGTTGGATGAGTTTATACAACAGGGGTAAAAATGACTCTTTCAAACCAGTTCAAATTCTTGGAGGTGGGGAGATTTTATTCAGAATAAGAGGAACCAAATTGCTAGCCAGGAAAAGCACACTCAAAGTAAGGAATGTAATGTAAATTGATATTGCTCATAATTCTTCAGGAATTTGGATCACTTCATTCATTTCAGGAGTGTGATCTTCTTCCCAGAAACTTACAACCCATTACACCTTTTGCAGGGAGCGGAGATGTATGTGTGCACTGGGCTTTGTTACTAGACTTATTAACTAGATTAAAGTCAAGACAGATTTTGAAGATAAAAATACTTGTAAAAGAAAAGGTGTAAAAATACTGTAACTACAAACAGCATATCAACTTACATAATCATTCAGAAGAATTTTCTACATATGGGTTTAATGAGCATAAATACTTACCTTCAACTTTTCAACTTCATCTTTGTGCTCTCTCTTTAACTGCAGAATAGCAGCCTGATACTCTGTTAAAAAAGAAAAAAGGAAACATTTATCAAATCAATGGCAGAGAAGTTCCTCAAGTAATTACTGTACATTCTATGGCTGCCGTGCACTAAGGTTGGTAACAAAAAAGAAACTGTAAATCAAGTCACAGCACTGCTAGTTGCAGCATCCTGATGTACATTCAAATAGACTCTGGATTAGGCTCATAAATGCTCCTATGCATTATTATTTATCCATTTTTCTAAGTTATTTTGTATTCTTGACTTCTGCAGTGACAGAAACACTTATTTCCTTTTCTCCATAACTTGTGCTGATTTGAGTACATTCAATGAATGAAAAGCAGATACAATGATTTCCCCTCCTCTGTCTTAGCAATGAAAGTACATTCAATGAATGAAAAGCAGATACAGTACAATGATTTCCCTTCCTTTGTCTTAGCAATGACCAATTTCTTCCCGTGGAAGAATGTGGTCACTGAATGAGTATGATTCATTAGGGTATGTCAGGCACTATAGTGGAGTGGGATTTATTGTGCATGTGTATGTTGGATGTTTGTGTTATACATAGATTACTGTTGGCAGCAGCCCGCTCCATATGAATATTCAACTAGAGGAGGAGGAAGCAGGACTGTCTGATGTCAGCACGTCAACAGCCATATACCTCAACATCCACAATCAGAATGTTAAGCAGGGGTGGGGACTTGTGAGTCATGACTTGCTGTCAAGTCAGACTTAATTCGCATCAGCAAGTTGACTTGGACTTGACTTGAGTGTTTTTTGGGAAGACTCGGACTCGACTTGGACCCATGTTTCTGAGTCATGTTTTCAAGTCTCTAATGGGGATGGGTCTCCCTACCTGCTCCTGTCACCATTGCTGCCCTCCTCAGAAGCAGCAGGTCTGTCTTCCCTTCCAGGAGCTGGCTGCTGCTTCCGTGCACGCACCCGCTACCTAGCTGGTAGGTTGGTGCATGCACAGAGGCAGGGGATGGTTCTGGGAAGGGAAATCAGCCCATTGTCTCTGCATATGCACATGTGCCCACCTGGTTTCCCTTCCAGGCTCGCTTTCTCTGCACCCTGAGTGGCAGGGCAAATAATTTGAGATTTGGGACTCAGACTCAAAGACTTGCGAACATCCATGATGTTAAGTAGGAATGCCACATGGATTGCCCAAGGACACACAACTGTATGCACATATATCAGAGTGGGCAAAGAAATTCCTGCATGCAATATGCAGCCATATGCAGCCCTCCAGGCCTTCTGTAGCCTCAGCACCATCACCTCCAAAAAGTTGTCTTTTTGTCTCTTTCCTTTTTCCCTCTTATTTTCAACTCATCTCTTTTAGGTGTACAGGGCCCTTTACAAAAAATGAAGCTGACCATGTTGAGGTGAAATGAGCAGAGAGACAAAATTAAAAATGGCCTGCACAGTTTAGCAGCTTTCTGCTTCTTCCTACTGCTGCTGTTGTGTTGTTTACAAACTGCCTACCAATACTCTGGGTGCCACATTAGAAACCAAATGAGCCAACAGTTTACAGTTAAGAATGTACCAAAAGAGAAAAGGGGACAGAGAAGGAAATGACTATTGAATGGTTATTAAATATAAAGATGTGTCACTTGTGATCAAGACCATCCATATTATTGTATTTCTGTTCACCACATATGACTGTGAAAGCTGGACGGTAAAGAAAGTGGACAGGGAAAAAATGATTTGTTTGAAATGTGGTGCTGGAGGAGAACTTTGTGGATACCCTGGACTGCCAAATATATGAACAAGTGGATCCTAGATCAAATCTACCCTGAACTATCTCTGGTGGCAAACTGTTGAAACCATTCTACTTTGGGCACATCAGGAGAAGGTGGGATTCTCTGGAAAAGACAGTAATTCTGGGAAAGGTGGAAGGCAGCAGGAAAAGAAGACAACCCAATAGGAGGTGGACTGAGTCCCTAAAGGAAGCTACAGGCTTGAGTTTGCAAGAGCTGAGCAGGGCTCTTGAGGACAGGACATTCTGGAGATCATAGTGTTGCCGTACGTTAGAGGCAATTCAACAGCACACAACAACAACCCTAAATCCAGTTCTGGGCTAGGTGATTCCAAAATCTTCCCACCTACGTTATGCAAACAAGATGTAGAGAGTGTGGGAGTCAGAAAATTAGTGTATGACTAGAAGGGTCACATAAGGTGAGCCTACATTATGAAGGTAAAATTTTCTCAAAGTATATTTCTCTGAAACCCACCTCATTTATTCTCATTATTGTTTTGCTTAGGCTGAGAGAATTTGTTCTCTTCCCAAACTAAAATTCATACTTCTTTTTTGTTCATTTATTGTAATGTGTGATGCTACCTATTTATGCATTTTATACATTTTATCTAATTTATAAATTTCCACTGCTGACTAAAGTCTGCACCTCTCTATTTTCTCAGTTGTACACCAACAGCACACAACAACAACCCTAAATCCAGTTCTGGGCTAGATGATTCCAAAATCTTCCCACCTACGTTATGCAAACAAGATGTAGAGAGTGTGGGAGTTAGAAAATTAGTGTATGACTAGAAGGGTCACATAAGGTGAGCCTACATTATGAAGGTAAAATTTTCTCAAAGTATATTTCTCTGAAACCCACCTCATTTATTCTCATTATTGTTTTGCTTAGGCTGAGAGAATTTGTTCTCTCCCCAAACTAAAATTCATACAGTACTTGTTTTTTGTTCATTTCTCGTAATGTGTGATGCTACCTGTTTATGGATTTTATATATTTTATCTAATTTATAAATTTCCATTGCTGACTAAAGTGTGCACCTCTCTATTTTTCTCAGTTGTACACATGTCAGCCATTCACATTTTCCAGTTTTATTGGCTGGGAGATAGGCAGGATATAATAAATAAACAAAAATAAAAATTTGCTAATCCTTTCATGCACACTTTATTTTTCCACAATACCCAATAAACCTTGCAATCATGTGTGTTCTGAAGGCAAAGCATATTTCTTCTTGCAGTAATTCTTCAGAGATGCAAGAACACTACTTTTGTTGAGATTAATGAATCCAGTAATATTAATTTCCAGTTTGAGACTAGGGATCTCTTGAAACAACTGATGACGAAATTGACTGATGAAAGCTGATTAAAGGGCTCAGGCCCTGGAGCAGTTCTAAAAACAGGGCCCCCTTTTAAAATGAGGATTACACAGTAGAGCATGAATAATATTACTTTGCTATAGCAAATATGAGGAAACAATGGATAGATGTAGCACATGAAAAGCTAACAACAACATTATCCTCCATGGACAGAAGCTTTGTTGAGGCAGAGGGGTTTAGGTGCTTCAGTGAGGTTAAGAATTATGCTGGTGGTAGTGTTGCTACCTGAAGAGTATCCCAAGCTAGACAGGTATCAGATGAGAAGCCAGACCAACTGGGTCCACAAACCCTCAATCATGGTTGGTTGTTGGCTGGGTCACTAAGTATTGCATCAGATGCTATAGGCTCTGGACATCTGGTGACAAATGGGCTACAAGGCTCATCAGACCCTGTTGAAGAACCAGGACAGATGGCTGCAAAAAAGTTACTGGAACAGTGTGCTGGACATCTGGTGACAAATGGGCTACAAGGCTTATCAGACCCTGTTGAAGAACCTGGACAAACGGCTGCAAAGTTAATGGAACAGTGTAAATGCAAAACTTAGATGCCCCCTGAAAATCAAGAAATTATAAAATGTTATTACGAGGCAATCCCAACAGCCTGCGAATGTTATTACGAGGCAATCCCAACAGCCTACAGTTTAAAAAAAAAAGAATGATGGAAATTTGGAAAAGGGAAACACCCAACTACGTAGTGACATTACTGAACAAAGATTAATGGACCAGAGAAGGTGTATCATCTGGAGTAAAGTGTTTTCAGAACTGGAATTGCAAGAACTAGAAAAGGTGGCAAAAGGTAAATGAACACAACTGTAATTGCAAGAACTAGAAAAGGTGGCAAAAAGTAAATCAACACAACTGAAATTATTAAGAGGCAAGTAAAGACTGTGAAAAACTGGACTGTATCTGGTCCAGATGAGCTGCACAGATTTTGGTTAAAGCATTTAACAAGTCTCCAACAACTGTAACAGTGAATTTAATCACTTACTTCAAAGCTCTACAACTGAAGATAGGATGATAACAGGTCACACATTTCTGATAATAAAAGATCATCAGAAGGGCAATGAACCCAGTAATTACTGACCAATTACATGCCTTTCAACAATGTTCAGGCTCCTCACAGGAGTACTTGTAAGATCAACATATAATTATTCAATTGAAAATTCCCTATACCCAAAGAAACAGAAAGGGGACTTTTAAAAGTTAGGAGGCATGAAAGATCAGCTGCTTATTGATAAAATTATACTAAAGAATGCAAAAAGACAAAAAACCCAAATCTTAACATTGCCTATATGAAATATAAAAAGGCAAGTGACTCATTGCAACACAGCTGGATTAACACCTGCCTAAACATTTCTGGGATTAGTAAAAACATTCAGACGTTCCTCAAGAAAAACATGGAAAACTGTCTTAATGACCTATGGTGAAAAAATTGGGGAAGTTAGCATCAAAACAGGAATATTTCAAGGGGATTCTTTGTCACCACTGGTGTTTAATATCTCACTAATTTCCATGTCAATAATTTTAAATAAGATTAGATTGAACTACCATATTTCAGATCAAGCAGGAAAAATCAATGATCTATATGCAAAAAGTTCCACTGAGATAGAAACACTGCTAAACACAGTGTGAATATTTAGTGAAGCTATTCAAATAAAATTTGGAATTGACAGATTCCAAAATTGGATTTGCAACTCTGTCTATCCAACGTGGCAAGTTTCAAAAACTAGATGGAATAGTTAAAAAATGGCAATATTATAACATCACTCTCAAGTGATGAAAATTATAAGTACCTTGGAATAGTAGAAGCAGATAACATAGAGCACACAAAAGTTAAAGAACTGACAGAAAGGGAATATATCAAAAGACTGTGGAAAATCTTAAAATCAA